CCATCTCTCCATCTCTACCACCCCATCTCTCCCTCTTCTACCACCCCATCTCTCTCTCTACCTCCCCATCTCTCTCTCTCTACCACCCCATCTCTCTCTCTACCACCCCATCTCTCTCTCTCTCTCTCTCTACCTCCCCATCTCTCTCTCTACCACTCCCCTAAACACCCATCACCCCTTGACATCAATAATTAAATCTAGTTTGTTTTGAATGGACCTTTAACCCATCTCTCACTGACCCTAACACACATCACCACATGATATTAATAAGTACTCTAGTTTGTCTTAAATGGAGGTTTAATCTCTCTCTCTCTCTCTCTCATGCCCATCAACCCTAGATTTTAATAATGAAGTCTAGTTTGCATTGAGTGGATGCTTAATCTCTCTCTCTCTCTCTAACCTCCATCACCCCTCAATATTAATAATGAAGCCATCAAAATGACACAAGTTATCTAGAACAAGATCAAGGTCTACTTACTAGAAGATAAAAATATCTTTACTATATCTTTAGTTTCATTATATAATCTAATTTAAGCCCCAACATGTACCACAATCAAATGAAATGAAATGGGATTTAACGTCCCATTGTTCTGCTCTGGCTAATGAAGACAGGCATATGCCATACGTTGTGCAATGAGGGAATTTTGCCTGGACAGTGGCTCTACAGCCTACTCTTATATCGAAAGTTACACTGCACTAAGGCCAATCCAATTTAAACTTTAGTTTTCCATGTTATCCGCGTCCTCAGGGTCCTGAAGAGCAAGGAAGTAACCTTCATTATCAAATTATCTTTAAAAATGGCAAACAAAACTTCAAATTGGTGTGGCCTAAACTGGCTGCTGTCTGTGGCTGAATTTAAAGGAGCTAAGTCGCTAATACTTGGGACCTAGAAATTGACACAAATGGGTCGCAATGCATACAATAATGTAATATGAATGTATATAAATTGATTTACATTCAATCGTTTCTGTTTCAATCTCTAGCATCTGGTTATTCCAGTCTACGCCGATATTATTTATTTGGCTTGCTCTCCAGATAAGAATATGGCATCACCGTTTGAAATGACTTGTAGAATATGCCTAGCCTCGTTTTTAGAGTCCCTTATTACAAATTACAAACGCATTATGGTACACGATTTGTGTACCAATTGTAAAATGTTTATTTTGTCTTAAATATTGGATATCAGAAGGCCATCTTTTCCCGGTAAGATCACAACATCAATGTTGATTTAAACCGACAAATAAATTGTGTTTTCAATGTCAAAGATTTTGGATGATATTGAGTTAGAGACTTAGCTACTTTAACTTAAATAGAAGACATAATTTTTCAGGTCATTTTCATTGTACTGCAACTCCCATGAACTTGATGCTTACAATTGCATTAACACTGATAAAGAAATGGTGCTGAACTAGATGCCTGCCAATGCACTAACACTGATAAAGATATAGGGGTAACAGGAACAGTTAATTGACCTAAATAAACACATTGTCTTGTGATGTCTTGCAATCACTAATGAACTTCCCCTGAACTTCAATGACCCTTGATTACCATAAGTAGATAAGTAGGTTTAAAAACTCTAAGTATCATCAGAAAAGATGTTGTTGATAAAAACTGACTATAAATAGCTATATGCATATTCTATAATTACTTAACAGTCCAAACGTGAATCTTATGACCAGGCACAATGACCAGGCAGTTTTACATAGTATTTAATGTGTCATGGTTTGTTATCAATCAGGGTAGAGTTAAGTACTTAATCCATTATTGTTTATGTATGTTACTGTCTCTAGGGATAATCCTGAATAGTATATGTTTTGATGTCAACACTTGAGCTTATCCATTTATAGTTAGAATATGTACATCAATAGGTAGTCATTAGGTCACCCGACTTAGTAGCAGCTACGTCGGTCATCCACTGTGCTGTAAGTGTACATTGTATGTATTGAATTATTGTCATTTGTAAGAGATAAGTTCCAGTAATTAAAAGATTGAAGAACCATTCCAGACTTATTAGTTATTGAAGAACCAAGCGGTTATAATCTCATGAAGCCCTTGCACATGTACATGTGATAACAGCAGGCCTACCATGTGATAAAGGCTGGTCTACCATCCATGTGCAGACCCAACCCCATGCGATAAAAGCAGGCCTATCATGTGATAACAGAAGGCCTATGTGTCACAAATGAAACAGTAACTACAAAACCATTAGTGTAATGGTTTTTGGAGGGCAAGAAAAAACATAGATTACTTTATATTCTGTTCAATGTTATGAGTGTTTGAAGTTTTGAAAAAATCAAAATTGTGTCCGACGTTTGCCGATTGACAGTTCATATTCTCCATTTCCAAGTTCCATTGCCATAATAATAAATAATCTTGATTTCCAGTTCTTCATTCGGCCATTACCTTGAGTGTGGCCATATTAATGTCTAACGTGCCCTTGGTACGACTTGAAGTTTGAAGTTTATTAGTAGCAACGGTTAAACTCATAAATAGCCAATGTGTTCTAATCTACTTAAAATCACGCCCATTCCGCTGTTTTTCGAGAGTTGATGATGGACTTGTCATGTTAATCAATGTCTAAATAGGAAAATTTAGCTCTTAGTAATAAAGGGTTTTTGTTATTGTTACTCATGTACTAACCTAATTACAGTTTAATTAATAATTTATATAACATTTGAGGCCAAAAGAAAGACCAGATATAGCTCTTACATACATGAAATGCATCTTTAACTTTTAAAATAATTAAGTTTTTTTTATTGTCACTCATGTACTAAACTAATTACATTTTTGTTAATAATTTATATAATATTTGAGGCCAAAAGAATGATCTGCAATAGGAAGATTAACATCTTTAACATAATTAAGGTTTTTTTTATTGTCACTCATGTACTAACCTAATTATAGTTTTGCATAATATAAATAAGATAACCTGATAATGGTCTACTGACCTGATTATAATACAAGTAAACCAGTCAGAATTGTTATCAGATGAATTACTACAAAGATCTGTAACATGCCCTGAGTTCAGAAAGGGAGAGAGAGAGAGAGAGAGAGAGAGAGAGACAGAAAGGGAGAGAGAGAGAGAGACAGAGAGAGAAATGGGGTTTAACCTTCACTCGACACAAACTACGTCATTTTGGGACTAACATACGGTTCAATTTTATTTCAATAATTCGCTTGATCATAGGGGTCTTTAGAAGTGGGAGGAAACTTGAAATCACCAATCACGATCAAGCATTTATCAGACAATATGTGATTTCTTACTGCTTAATCCATGCTACAATGTACTCAAATAGATTAATTGAACCTTTAAAGATACGTTTCCGCCTACAAACTAATTAATCTATCAAAAATTTTGCTTCAAATCCTTCTCAAAATATTGTTTTTGCGAGGGAATACCCCTGCTATAAAAAATCTATGAAAAGAAGTTAGCAACCGGTGCGAAGTCGGAGGATAAGTCATTACATATACAAGAAGATGTTGTCTTTAATCGCTGTCCATTTATCATAAATATCAAAACCTAATTAAATTCTCGGATTATCCACTGCCCACGTCTTTTTACGTGGTTTTTATCTTCGAAACTGTTGTACGTTTAAGCTCACCATCAAGTTTATCAAAATATACATCAAACGCCCATTTACGCTGAGAGGATCGGACAATCTTTGAGTGCAACCTTTGAGGTCAAGCGAGCAGACATCCCTAATCGTCGGGCTGTCGATTAGGGGAACCCTGACATTTTTGTCCTGTATACGCTCCATGAGTGTTTTTCAGGGAATCCAGTATTTTTCTAGTAAGATTGAATGTTTCTACTTTCCATAAACCAAAATTGCCATACTTTTATTGGAAATAACCACCCGATAAATACTTTTTTGAGAAAGTATCTTTGAATAAGGAAATAAAACCCATATATCAACAGTTAATGGTCGCTCACTTGAATTCGATCAGAGGCCCATCAAAAGATTTTACCTTATGCTTGCTTGTTTTTATTGTTTGCAGAGGATGTGATTGTCAGGGGAAGATTTTAGCATCCTTGGACGGCATCAAGGCTTTGTTATTTTAAGAGGATTCTTTCTTAAAAGTATTGGTGCTGACTTGTTTGTATTACTTGCAGACGATGTGATTTTCAAGGGGCATATTTAGCATTCCTGACTGGTATCAAGCCTTTAATATTCCAGTAGCTCTTTTTTTAATCTAAAGCACTGAGTTTTCTTTGGGATTTTGATGATTGAGTTTTATTACTGATTTTACAAATGAGGCACCTGTCACTGACAATGTCAGGCACAGATTCAGGCTTTGTCAGGCACTTAACCTCTGGTGCCTGTCATTATAACCAATTGAAATGAAATGGGGTTTAACGTCCTACTGTTTTGCTCCTACTGGCCTAATGAAGACGGGCATCATGCCATGCAGTGTGCTATAAGGGAAATTTTGCCTGGACAGCGGCACTACGGCTTACTCTTATTTCAAATTCTGTCAAGGGTTCTTTTACGTGCACGTTAATGTGTACACACAGGATCTTATAGGGGAAGATGATTTTCCTCTGAGTCTCTTGTAAGCAGGCACAGATAATAAAGTTGAATCTGTAGGCGAACCAAGATTTGGGCAACGCTGTTTGTAGAATGTGAATAATTGTTTCAGGTAGGAGGGAGCAGAGAGAAAGAGAGAGAAATGGGGTTTAACGTCCACATGACACAAACTAGGTCACTTCGGGACTAACATATGGTTTTAAATTTTATTTCAATAATTTGCTTGCGTGAAGGGGTCTTTAGCAGTGGAAGGAAACCCGAGCCCAGAGAAAACCCACGAGGTTGGAGAGTTGACCCTACTCCTTGTCACGTCCAACCGGGGATTGAAACTACGCCAGTTGACTCAATGACAGGCCTTATGATACAGCGCGCATGTGCTAACCATTCGACCACCCAACCCCCCCCAGGAGGGAGCAGTATCAGAAAACAAAGTTTTATACACATTTGATCAAACTTGATCGTACACCCACTCACCTCATATTCTTCAAGTATCTTATGACCATCAACCAGAAGTTTTCTGTTAGTTTAGGTTTCCCTGCCAACATCAATCCTCTCAGATTATGACCATGGTTATGTAGGAAGTGGTATAAAGTGTTCTCACTCAGTGCATGTGTATGACTGATATCTATAGCCTGTAGACGAGTCAGTTTACCCTTCTCCATTAATCTCTCCAGTATCTAAATTATAGGATATAAATGAAATGAAATGGAATGGAGTTTAATGTCCTACTTTTCTGCTCCTATACTGGGCTAATGAAAATGGCCATGCAGTGTGCTATGAGGGAAATTTTGCCCGGGCAGCGGCACCATCGCCTACTCTTATATCGAATTCCAACTGCCAAGGGATCTTTTACGTGCATTCTAATGTATACACGGGACCTCGGTTAGGATATAAATGTAGATATTCAACTGTTAAAATGGTTGCCAGACAACGAAACATACGCCCACAGCAGCTAAATCATCTGAGCGGTCAACAAAGGGTTGTTGCATATTTATTCTTTTGTAGGTAATTGGGGGCATTTACAGGACAATTTCATACAGATAAGATTATAATTTTCTTCGTTTGAGGGTTCACAAGGTTCTACAAATAGCAACACAGGTCTTAACTCTGGAGGAAATTTCTTTGTTTGAGGGTTCACAAGGTTCTACAAACTGAAACAAGGGCCTTAACTCTGGAAGTAATTTACAGAAATTGTTGAAATTCAACAGGCTTTTTTCATTTTACTAATTGAAATAATATTAGGTCTACTGACCGTTCATATTTTCTCGCAGACAAGGGAAGTATCAATAATACTGGAAGTTTACTGAAGGCTTATCATCAAGTACGCAACCCTTATAAATGTGATTGACAATCACAAACTGTTATCGGAAAATGACAACCATCCATTGGACTACATAATTTTGAAAGATTATTCAAGTGCATTCCACATGCATTAATGAGAAAGAAATCACAGAAGTTATTATATTCCATGGGGATGTGAGATGGAAAGAGCTTCATTTACATAAAAGCTACAAAATCCTCTGTAGACAAAGCTAACTAGTTAATGCCTCCAAATGAATATAAACTGAGAGAAAGAGAGAGAGAGAGAGAGAGAGAGAGACAGAGAGAGAGGGTTTAATGTCCACTAGACACAAACTAGGTCATTTCGTGACTAACATATGGTTTAATTTTATTTCATTAATTTGCTTGCACGTAGGGGTCTTTAGCAGTTAGAGGAAACCGGAGGACCCGGAGAAAACCCACGAGGTTGGAAGAGAGAGGGATAGAGAGAGAGACGAAGAGAGTAGTAGCATTTCATCTTTTTCATCCCTTCCTGACCTTTAATGAATTGATTCAAAGACTATAAGTAGAGGAATTCCCCCATTTTCAGAAAAGAGAGAGAGATGGAGAAATGGGTTTTAATGTCAACTCGACAGAAACCAGGACATTTTGGGACTAACATATGGTTCAATTTGATTACAATAATTCGCTCGAAACCACGCCAGATGACTCAATAATAGACCTTACGATACAACATGCAAGTGCTAACCATTCGGCCATCCAATCCCCCTCAGGAAAACAGTCCTGTATCATTTTAAACATTTTGATCTCATCAGACATTCATCAAGTACAACACCCCAACAGTGGGGCCGATGACCCCTCCCTCAATCCCAAAATAAATAGATGACTCATTAACCCATTAAGTGCGTAGGTCGTTATATAACGTCCTGGACATGAACTGCCACTTACTGTGTGTAGGGCGTAATATAACGCCTTGGAGGTATTCTCCCCAACCTATTCTTAGAACATAGTACATAGTTCTTCGTCACTTTGTCAAATTAATCACACAATAGGGGGTAGTTATCGTTTTTAAAAAAACGTCACGCTTAACGGGTTAATTACTTTCACATTGATCTCTTTGTAAAACACTGAGCAATCAAATTATCCAAAATGGCATCTACAGAATTCTCATTACACCACTTAACACTGTAACACAGGTATCATTTAATTTTGTGTATCTAGCACTAATTTCTTTCAACAAAAATTTCTAATTTGTAGTTGTGTCCAGTTAGAAGCTGACTGATTAATTTATTTAATGAGTGTCCAATTTACAAGTATTTAATTTCCTGACCACTGTTCAAAAATTAATCATTATAGATCAATAATCAATTGGGTTGTTTATTTTTTAACAGAGATCGAGAAATTAAACGCATGTAAATTGGACACTCATTATCAAAATTAATCAGTCAGCTTTGAACTGGACACAAGTACAAATTAGATGATTTTTGGTGGTTTTAAATGATTTTTACGAATTTTTAAACAAAGATTTGATATTGAATGAATGTGAAAGAAATTAGTGCTAAATACACAAGATTAAATATTATCCGGATTACAGTGTAAATATGGAGATTGGAAATTACTGAACCTGTTCCTGCTGAAAAGCGTGGATCCACCTCTGACAACATGATATTCAATTGGCTAAATCTATTAGTTAAGGCCAGCTCAATTTTTGTCAAGGTGGCTGGGATGTAAATAAGGTTAGGGCACATGATTGTTGGTGAGATTGTAAGTTAGGATTAGGGGGTAAGAATCAGGGCTAGGTCCAGGGCTAAGGTTTGGGTTGGGATTAGTGCTAGCCCTGTTTACATCTCGTGACCTATGACGAAAAATTGAGCTGGCCTTATCATTTAGTACTAAACCTTGAAGACATGATATTAAATTGGCCCTCACCTTATCTGTAAAGAATTCACAATGACCAAGTCCTAAATATGTAAATCCTGGACATCTTGTTAATACGCTATCTAAACAATCAGTAGATAGTTCCGTTGAAGTTAAATCTAGTTCCGTTATTTGGGAGGTTTCCCAGGGTACTGCTATCATTAACTGATCTTCTACACCTGAAATATTTCAGATATATTTAAAAATATTAAACCAGCGGTTGCCAGGCAAAATACGCCCACATTTTGCAAGAGATGGATAGAGAACAAGCTAAAAAAAAACCCCGCAATTTTCATACAATCAGGGGCCATAATCTAAGATGTTATGGTCTGAAATATGCGAATATCGAAAGGGACTGAGATCTTTGGGATATAAAGATATATTTTAAGTTTCATCAAAATCGGACAAAAATTGTGACCTCCAGAATCCATAAACATGATTTTTTTTCGTACAATGAAGTTACGATCCAATACATACCAATATCGAAAAGAACCGAGATCTTTGGCAGATAAACGTATGTTTCCAGTTTCGTCAAAATCAGATAAAAATTGTGAACTGTAGAGTGTCCACAAAATGTGGACGTATAACAATGACTGGAATAGTTATAAATGAACTAAAACCAATTTGTATAAAATTTGACTACTGCGTTATTAATGAAAGTTTGGGGGGAGGGGGCAATGACCGAATGATTAGCGCATGCATGTTGTATCATGGAGTCTGTCATTCAGTCTGGTGTGGTTTCGATTCCTCGGTTATATGTGACAAGGAGTAGAGTCGCTATCCAACCTCGTGGGTTTTCTCCGGGTCCCCTGGTTTCCTTCCATTGCTAAAGACCCCTACGCGCAAGTGAATTATTGAAATAAAATTGAACCCTAGGGGGTCTTTAGCAGTTGGAGGAAACCTGGAGGAGCCTGAGAAAATCCACGAGGTTGAACAGGCGACCCTATTCCTTGTCACGTACAACCAGGGAATCAAAACCACGACAGTTGATTCAATGACAGACATTATGATACAACGCGTACACGCTAACCATTCAGCCATCCAAACCCCCTGGATAAAAAGAAACATCAGCATAGGCTAACAGTAAAGGTTTAAACCTAGGTAACCCTACTCCTTGTCACGTACAACCAGGGAATCGAAACCACGCCATAACAGACCTTATGACACACCGCGTACACCCTAACCATTCGACCATCCAAACCCCCTGGATGAAAAGAAACATCAATGTAGGCTAACAGTAAAGATTTAAACCTATTAATAAATATAGAGAATCTGGATTATGTCTTCAGGACCTAAAAGGTTATACAGAATAAACACTTGTTATACAGATACAGGAAATTAATCAACTTGTTGTGTTTCTACTTTAAAACAAGTTTCAATACAACATCATGTGTTTTTATAGATTCCTGACATTTATCAGTGTTTTAGTTCCCAGGCTAAATAACATGTATAACATAATGTCTTCTTTAATAATAAATCACTTATAAATGTTCAACAGGTGAAGAAAGTGCTGATGGGGTAGAAACAGTATAAGGTTAAGAGTGAAGCTAAGAGAGAGAGAGAGAGAGAGAGAGAGAGAGAGAGAGAGAGAAGGACTCAATCGGGCATTTGGTGATTAGTTTTGAAATCGTTGTCAGCATGTAAATTGAATATTTAATCACAATGTGTATACAGTAGAATCTGTACTAGCAGCCCCTCATATAGCATACAAGATGGCGGCAAGTGGCTGCAGTGAATTGATCCGCTAAGGAAATTGCAACAATACCTATGGATAAAATTCTACAAACTTAATATATTTTACTCTCAGGATAAACCAATCTCAAAGGAAATCAGACGAAACGCAAACTAAAAGTATCAATTATTCCCTTATCCTGTTGTTTTCTTGGTAAATATTGACCTGGTTATGAATCGTGATATGAATCTTATCATAGCACCTGAATTGCAATAGGTATCATATCGTGACTGCAGTACGAATACCCCCCACTATGGCTGACCTTGTAATCAACTGTTTGAGTTATTGGAAATCATTGAAAATATTTTAATATCTTGGCAAATGCAAATTAGGAACAAAATGGTTCAGCTACTTTCTGCTTTCCATCTAATTTATTTATTGATTTTATTATTTTACAACTCAGAATGGTTATAGTTCAGGTTCAGAAGAGAGTCCACTCGGGACTAACACATGGTTCAATTTTATTTCAATAATTCGTTTGCATGTAGGGGTCTTTAGCAGTGGGAGGAAACCTGAGAACCCGGAGAAAACCCACGAGGTTGGACAGGCGACCCTACTCCTTGTCACTTACAACCAGGGATTCGAAACCCCGCCAGTTGACTCAATGACAGACTTTATGATACAGCGCGCGCACGCTAACCATTCAGCCCCCCCCCCCCAGTAGGAGGAAACCTGAGAACCCAGAGAAAACCCAGGAGGTTGGACAGCGGACCCTACTCCTTGTCACGTACAACCAGGGAATCAAAACCACGCCAACTGACTCAATGACAGACCTTATGTTCAACAGGTGAAGAAAGTGCTGACTGGGTAGAAACAGTAGAAGGTTGAGAGTGAAGCTAGAAAATTGAAATGGAACAAGATTTAAAGATGCATTATGTAAGAGATAAATCTGCATATTGTAGGTCTTTCTTTTGGGGGGTTTGGATGGCTGAATGGTTAGCGTGCGCGCGCTGTATCATGAAGTCTGTCATTGAGTCAACTGGCGTGGTTTCTCGATTCCCCGGTTATAAGTGACAAGGAGTAGGGTCGCCTGTCCAACCTCGTGGGTTTTCTCCGGGTCCTCCGGTTTCCTCCCACCGCTAAATAAAGTTGGACCATATGTTAGTCCCGAAATGACCTAGTTTGTGTCGAATGGACGTTAAACCCCTTCTCTCTCTCTCTCTCTCTTTCTCTCTCTCTCTCTCTCTCTCTCTCTCTCTCTCTCTTTTGGCCTCAAATGTTATATAAATTATTAATCCAATTATTAAAAAAAATAATAATTATGTCAACGATGCATTAAGTGAGAGTTAAATCTGCATAGTGCAGCTCGATTTTATGTAATTAGGTTAGTACAGTAGAATCTGTATGAGCAGCCACTCCTATTCAGCGACATCTCCTTGTAAGCGGTCACGATAAATTCCTCCCGTAGAAAATCTGTTGTTTCATCTCTTTATTCAACGGTCACTCCTCTAACGCGGCCAGCGGTCACTATTTTACAAATAAATTCAACAAAACATCGCCCATTCAACGGCCATTGTTGAATGATACCATCTTGTCGTTCTTTGTAACATCCCCGCTAATCCCGTGAGTAGTAGTTAATTAACTGGATCCCCACTGATCAGGTAAAAAGAAATGTAAAAATAACAATCAATCCGGGATTATCTGTTAATTAATCTTTTGTTTTGTTAAACGACTAACCTGATCATTGTTTTCGCGCGTAACGACACATTATTTGATACTGATTGAATAAAATAAAAGTACCGAGTTTTGTCACGATCATCTAGTATCTCTTTATTGTTAAACAGACGTTTTAGCGCCTCCTATAATATTACATACAGAGTTACACCCCCTGTAAATAGTGATAAAATTAGCGATGTTTTTTTTTGTTCTTGTGCTTTTTTGATAAAATAAAACGAATTCATCAATTTTCTTCACAAAAATGGATAAATAGTATCCAATGCATCACAATGGTAGACAGTAGTATCGAAGGTTGGTACAAAATGACGTGTTTACAGAAGTTATGTCCGAGATTTGAGTAAAGAATTTTCGTTCGGCGCAAGATTCAGCGACGGTCAAATTTACCGCTTCCAATGCATTCAAGCGTAATATTTAATTTATGTCAGCACAAAAAGCACCAAGATTTTATTAAGAGGCCACTCCCGTTATGTTATGTCCGAGATTTAAAAAGAATTTTCGTTCGGCGCCAGATTCAGCGACGGTCAAATTTACCGCTTCCAATGCATCCAAGCGTAATATTTAATTTATGTCCGCACAAAAAAGCAACGAGATTTTATTAAGAGGCCACTCCCGTTAAGCGTTCAATTGTGAAAATTCCCTTGGGTGGCTGCTTAATGCAGATTCTACTGTACATGAGTCACAATAAAAAAAACCCCTAATTACTAAGTTAAAGATACATTATGTAAGAATTTAATCTTCCTATTGCAAGTCATTCTTATGATGGCTTCAAATGTGGTATCAACTACTTCAGGTCTTTCTTTTGGCCTCAAATATTATATAAACTATTTTTTAGAAATTGATTAACATGACAAACCAATAATCAACTCTCTCTAGGTCATCAGATGGTCATGATTTTGAACGGATGGTCATGATTTTGAACGGATTGGAACACAACCACCATTTAAAATAAAAATTGATAATCAAGAATTTATTTATTATCGAGACTATGCTATTCTTCAAACTTGCAGAACTCCATTCAGAAAGAAGTAATTTGACTGAAATTTTCAATATATTCTTTTTTCATTATCTATTGTAAAATGAAATAGGGTTTAACTTCATTGAGTCAAGTGGCGTGGTTTCGATTCCCCACTTGTATGTGACATGGAGTAGGGTCGCCTGTCCAACCTAGTGGGTTTTGTTCAGATCCTCTGGTTTCCTCCAACTGCTAAAGACTCAATCGAATTATTAAAATAAAATTGAACCATGTGTTAGTCCTGAAATGACCTAGTTTGTGTCGAGTGGACGTTAAACCCATTTCTCTCTCCCTTTAAAGGTGAGCAACCAGTGCAGCTGTACGGACAGTCATCACTCACAGATACAATTTTTTTTTCACTTCCTCGTATAAAATACGATACACCTACATGTTCGAAATCTCATCAATCATATCTGAAATATATATATCCCAGGTATATGGAAGCTAGTAAGTTACTTCCATAAAATCAGGAACAACTGTATAATCATGATACGAATTTAATTAATCAGCAACAACATTAAAATCATTTTATAACTAAAAAGGAATGAACAAGACAATGTGCATTCTATTGTCTTCTATATTCTAAATTAAATGTAGACCATAAAACATTCAGACACTAATCTCCTGCATTTATTTCAATATAATTAAATGTATTAATTGTCTCATTGTTTTAATGATTTAGTATTTAACTAAACTGATTAAATTTTATGAATGAAAATTACGAAAATATATTCTACATGCATTGCTTTGAAATGCTT